AAGTGGATAGGTAGCAGCAGGGCAAGAGTAAGAACCAAGGGTGGAGGGCTATTAAAAACAAAGTTTCCACAAGAAGTACACACACTGGTAAAACAGCAAGTGGCTGACTGAGCCTAGAAGGAAGTTGACAGAGGGGAGTTGCAAGAGATCTTGGGATGCTAGATAAAAACCTGCTATCACAAGTGGCTGGCTTTACCGAGCAGCAATGCTTCTGTTTGGCTTTGTTGGTCTTCAAGCTCTGAAAGGGCAGAGCAACAGCAGGCCTGCGGGTTCCTTGGTTTGTGCACAGTCCTCAGATGGGCACAGGCCTGTGTCTTGTTTACTTAACTGATGTGGTCTTCTTGTACATATTCCACGGTGTTAGATTAAGTTATGGAAGGCAATCTGCTCTAAGGCCCACTGTTTAATCCCATTTAACCACTCCATAACATCAGATTCGTTTCTGGCAACCTGGGAACTATACCAAGGAAAGTTGAAACATAAAACCAGTCATCAGAAGGAGATAGGAATGTATAGATTTCTACAATCTTCAACAGTGATGCGCGGACAATCAAGCAAAACTAGTTTTTTAGTCCAAGGCAATCACAAAAACAGGTGCTGAGCAATTTGGGGATGAATTAACAGTAGCCTATTAAGCAGCAGGTGATGAAATGTTTCAATTGCATGCAGGCAGTACACGTGAATACTCTGAAGAGAGAAGCCCTCATGGTGATTTTACAGCAAAAGAATTTTTAAAAAGTTCTTTAAGAAAATTGATTTGTGCATACTGCGACAGATAAGAGATAAAGAAAAGAATAGAGACATGGGGGAAAGTTTAAACCAGCAGTTCTCAACCTGGGGGTTGCAGCCCCTTGGGGGGCAGGGGGTGTGTGTCGAACGACCCTTTCACAGAGGTCACTTAACACGATCGGAAAACACAAATATTTCACACTATATAATGACATAATGTTTTGTAATTAATCACTATGCTTTAATTATGTTCATGTTCAATTTATAACAATGAAAATACACCCTGCATATCAGATAACTTACATGCCGACTCACAAAAGTAGCCAAATGACAGTGATGAAGTGGCAATGAACATACTTTTATGGTTGGGGGGTCACCACTATATGAGGACCTGTATGAAAGGGTCGCAGTGGTTTAAACAAAAACACACATACACACGTCTGGGCGTATGAGACCCTGTTTGGCAGAGGAAAGAGGAAGACCCTCAGGGAGGCGCACTGGCAGTGCTCCACCAGGAGCTCCACCTAGCCTCGCTTGTGAAGACCGCACAGCACTGGACACTGTTTCCATTCACTGAACAAGTTAGCTGTGAGTCTGAATTGACTGGAGGGCACCTACCACCAGCATAAATACATACGTGTACACACACACACACACAAACACGTTACGTAAAAAAGCATCACAACACAGTCACAGAAACATCCTGTAAACAAAAATGCCAAAATGTAAAGCTACTGCTTCTCAACATATCTTCCACCCAGGTGTATTCAACAGTATGTCACAAAGCATTATTAATAAAGTTCCGTTCATGCCTGCACAAGTTTATTCCATACAACATATTTAAACATTGCACTGCAATTAGTGCATAGCTACAAAGAAGTCCTTTCAGTAATGCACTTAGCTTACGCTCCATAGGGTGTGCGCAGTTATATAATCCACTGTCACCTTGAGGAAGGGGTGGAGTCCAGCCTGTCAATCAGGTCACAGCTTGATGACCTCATTTGTAGGTGCAACGGGAATGCATAGCTCACTGGAGGCCAGACCCACTCTCTCTGCTACACATTCCTGTTGACAAGCCACAAGGAGCTACACTGATGGAGCCAGAACCCTGGAGCTAGAGGAGCCACATGGGATCCCTGCCAGTGTTGAGATGCTTCCACCACCACTGAATCCACAACTCTCCACTGGTATCAGACATGTGGGCTAATATCAGAGTAATCATTTGAGAATTAGGTAAAGGAAAACCGTTCTAAAAATCTAGGAAAGCACCATTTCTGGTAATTCCAAGTCACTCTGATTACACTGACTCTCCCACAAATAACAAAACTATTTAAAAAAAAAAAACTACCTAGAGAGCAACTGAACGTAAAATGATTCTGCAAGAGCACTAACATTTGGGAGAACGAAGGGCACAGGGTGTGTTTCAATGGTCTCACAATGTATAGGTCAATTGTGAACCCAGTCTGGGTACAGGCAACAGGTAAAATTCGAAGAGAAAGCCCACTGAAGCTGCTGGACAGGTAACATACCGTGTATACTAGAGTATAAGCCGACCTGAATATCAGCCAAGGCACCAAATTTTACCACCTTTGCTGAAAAATGTGACTTACACTCAAGTATATACGGTAGACAAATCCAGGGTCTAAGAGTCAGAGAAGGAGATCCTGGAACTCTGTCTCTAAATTCTGTCCTGATCTGTAGCTGCCCTCTGACATGCACGACGATGTGGCAAAAATTTCCAAGCAGACCACTTCAAGTTCAAAATCACTGGACTGAGATTTGAGTTTCTACCTAAGTATCACACTTTGAACTGACCAAGCTAAAGAAACAATAATTCATACTCTTCAGAGAGATTTAACAAATTCTCAGTATCTGTAATTCACAATGAACAATACACCATCCAAAATTACTAGAACTAACAAATTGTGATCCAATCTCTTAAGACAATGGAGCTGGTTGAAATCTACAGATAGGATTTTAAAAGAGCTATTGTAATTATGGATACACAATCAACGCTCACGGAAGCAGCAGTCGAGAAACAAAATGATACTATTGCACTGGGAAAATCAGCTACACACAATCTTTAAAGTGTTGAAGAGCAAAGAAGTCATTTGGGAAACGACTAAGGCATGTCTGATCCAAGCCATGGTGTCTTTAATCACGTCATATACAAGCAAAAGCTGGACAGCTAATATGAAAGAATGATGAATTTAAACCAAGGGGCTGGCAATGAATATTGGAAGTACCATAGACTGACAGAAAAACAAACAAATCTGTCTCGGAGATGTAAATAGCCAGATGGTCCTTAAAAATAAGGGTGGCGAAACTTCATCTGCCATACTTTGGACATGTTATCAAAGAGATCAATCCCTGGAGAAGGACATCATGCCTGGCAGGGCAGAGGGTCAGGGAAAAAAAGGAAAACTGGCTTCATATAACCCAGCTCACCATGGTAACTCCAACATCTAGTATATTTGTATCATAAATTTGAGGGATGCCAAATTCAGAAATGTTATTAAGACTAAAGTTTCATTAGATACTGGACTTTTATGAATTTCGGGTTTACAAACCTACAATATGTGGCTAATAGTACATGTACTATTTCACAAGAGCCAAAAGAGACACTATTAAATGTACTTTTAAAATTATAAATTGCTAAATATTAATTTTTTTATAGCCAGTGAGACATATAAAGGCAAAGATTTACTTTCACTTTGTGCATAACACAGCCTTTTGAAAACATCACAAATCGCCAACAAATGATCTTCATAGAACATAAATGTTCTTTCATGAGAGAGAACCCAGAGCTGTCATCTCAGTTGACAGTTTGCAGTGACCTGTAGGTCGGAGGACTGCCCCATCGGCTTTCCAAAGCTGTAAAGTTTTATGGCCACAGAATGGCTAGTGGGTCTGGATCACCCAATCTCTAATGATTCTCATACTAATTTTTTCATAGGCATATTAAGCAATGCAACTTTACACAAAACTTAAATGCTGCAAAAGGGGGGAATTATTTGAACTTCTGTTTAGAAACTAGTACTTATTCTGACATTCCAACTTTTCTGGCCATATCGTCCAATATAAACTGTCCTCATGAAACTTTTAAGCCCAGACAAAAAATTACGGAGACAGACTTATTTTCAACATAAAAAAACTACTAGCCAGAATTACCTTTCAAGGTATGGGGAGAATGCTATCCTCTTACTAATTCTGAGACTTAAACAAGAAATAGTAACAATAATGAAAAAAGCACAAGCTAGAAGAAAAACCAGAGGTTCTGGTTCTTCTGGGTTACAGAAATAAAGATTAAAGATAATTTTAAAATATGTGCCACATTTCTTAATTAAGTGTATGTACCTATCGCCTGGAGAACTAAAGATTAGAAGCTTTTCATATGCATTATTTTTTTAAGTCATCCAAAACCTAGCAGACACTTGAAAGGTAAATATATTTTAATGTCTAATATTAACAAAGAACATAAATAGTCTTTAAGTGTACAATGCTAGTTATGAGCCACAAGAGTAGAAGGGGATTTAGTTTTTAATTCAAGCAGGCTTCTGTAGTTTTGTCGGCTTATGTAAGCTTATTAATCTGCCTATTAATCTATCTAAACGGTTTCCTCATCTGTGTGAAAAGTAGAAATAACCCTGCCTCGGTACACAGTAAACTAATTGTGTGTGTGTGTTACTACAGAACACCACGTTAAGCTGTGAATAAAATTTACACACATGAAAAAAGAACATAAAACCCACCATCAAGGCGAGGGCCTTCACCCCACAAATGTCTTTGAAAAGGGACAAAATCAAATGCCCAGACACGTGAGCCCTGCATGTTACACGTGCACAGTGCTTTACAAGGGAAGAGCTTGACAGGCAGGAATAGCACATGTGCTAAAAGAACATTCTGGAGCCCAGAGGCTTCCGCTGTTGCAAGCATGAAAGGCATGAACTGCCTCCATGCTTTTTCACATGCTCTCTTCCACTCGGGAAGGCTCTTTATCCTTCCTTTCTGCATGAAACCCCTTAAAAAAGAATTCCCCTCCCGCTGAGCCCTCAGTCTTTCTCTGAACCACCAGTGCATGCCCCCTTTGGATGCTAGTCAGTCAAACACGCTGTAAACATGGGCTTTACTACAGCGTTGATCCACCCTTTAAATGAAAATAGCAGTTGCCATCTGGAGAAATATGAATTTTGAAATTATTTTAAAACTGTATCCTTTAATACACCAATTATGCCTACCTAAATCTTTCAGATTTTTACCATTTTACTTACTTGGTGCACTCTTCTAAAGACTGTACAAGCATTTGCTGAAAAGAACATATTTCTTCTAGATTTCCCAATAAATATGAAGTGTTTGTAGAACTTAACCTAGACCCAAGAAAAAGAGAAAAAAAATCTAAATATTTTACTTATATTCACTCCTGTTTGACTCCCAAAGTCCTAGTAAAATCTCAAATTGTTTAGCGAAGTACGTTTCTCTATGGAAAACTAACATGCTGAATTTCACCCCATTATTCTGACCCCCGAATTGTGACAATAAGAGAAAACCTCCTGAGATGCTGACAATTTTAAGTCAAAGTAACTTATCATTTAACTTACTTTTCGCTGGTCTGTAATGGCCGTAGATAAGTGGAAAGCACAGTCTGTAGTTCTTTAGAATACTCATTTTCTGTTTCTAAAATATTCTGTAGCACCTATAATAAATAATGAAACGGTGTTATTTTTCAAGTATGTCAAGAACATTATCATTTATAAATTTTGGAAAGTTCTTCAGTGATGAATATAAATTCATCACTGTTCAATTTACATTGTTGCTTTGATGTAATGCTAGTGCTTTTAAAATTCTAACTACCTCTGATTCCCAAGCTGTTCACTAAATCCATGTATTACTATACATAATGTACCTTAGCATACCATTAAACAGGTACATCTACCAATCAAGGCATCTGGTGGCATTGTGAAATAAGCATTCTGCTGCTAACTGCAAGGTGGGGTTCAAGCTCACCAGCCTCTCTGTTGGGAGAAAGATGAGGCTGTCTGCTCTCCTAAAGATTTAAATCCTTGCAAAGCCAATAAAGGGTCACTATGAGTTAGAACTGACTCCGTAGCAGCAGGCTTGGTGTCAAGAAAGAGGCTAGAATAAATTCCGTCATCAGAAAAGCAATGCCAACTCTGTTTAGATAAAGATCATTTTACTTAATGTAATTTGACAGTGACTTTTAAAACCATGAAGCTTATGCTACTTAGCAGTAAACATGAAGGAACCACTAATAATCAAAGAGCATAGCTGAATCTATAAAACACTGCATTACAAGACGCCATTTATAGAAAGGTACAACCTGGCTAATTCCATTTATTTTAAATTCAAAAACAGGTAGTAAACTAATCTATGATAATAGACATCAGAAAAGAGATTGCAGGGACTTTAGAGAAATGGACCTAGTACACATTTCTTAAAAAAATTTGGTTTTATTGTTCACGATTTTTAAAAATAAAAGTATTTCAGGAATAGGTATTATTTTGTGAAACTTTATTATATACAAAATCCTTTTTAATTATAGTTGCTAAATATAATTACATATAAATAAAAAATACGGGTATGTACAAAATGAAAATTTTCTGGGGAGATGAACATTTCTATATTTTGGTTTAGGGAGCAATTACATAGATACATGTGATGTTTGTGAAAGTTCACGGAAATGAATCCTTAAAATGAATGCACTTGAATATTGTAAAGAGTATCTCCATCTAAATACTGACCTTTACTTTTTAGATGGAATCTAGCAAATCCAAATCATTTTATGGAAACTCCAAACCTTCTATAGATGTTACAGTCTTACACCATCGAATTTATTATAATTAATAAAAACTAAAGGTCTACATTTATAAACAGATATCCTAAAATCTGACAATGAAAAATAAAATGCAAAAGAGCTGAAATAAAATAGGAACTGCTTTCCATCAACTATTAAGAGCAAAGTCACTCATGATACAGCACAGGAAGACACCGAGATTTCCATAAAGCCCAGATACAGAGCTTAGTTGTTAGGATCATCCAGTAAATCAAGCGACCAGTTACTGATTGGTACTACGACACGCAAGTAGATCTGGTGAAGCAATGCTAAGTGCTCAGCTGCTAATCAGAAAGTTGGTGGTCTGAGCTCATAGCCACTCTTTGGGAGAGAGATGTGGCAGTCTGCTTCCATAAAGATTTATAGTCTTGGAAAATCGATGGGGCAGTTCTCTACTCTGTCCTCTAGGGTCACTGAGACTTGGAACTGCCTTGACAGCAGTAGACAGATGTACTCTTTAGGTCCCTAAAGATAAATAAATAAATAGTCCTCAAACTCACTGTCACTAGGTCAATTCTGACTCAAACCAACCCTGTAGGGCAGGGTGAAAATACCTCTTTGGATTGCCGTGGTCTCTCAAATCTTTGAGAGCAGAACAGAAAGTCTCATCATCCCCCACTGGGCAGACAGCAGCCTGTCTCATCATCAATCCATGAGAACTGTATTAAAGGGTCGTGGCATTAGAAAGGTTGAGAACCACTGGTCTAGTAAGTAGGGGGGACCAAAAATAAGAATCCACATCTTTCTAATAGCCCACCACACCGCACTTTCTCCAGGTAGCAGGTAGGACTTAGGACATCTATAAACATCCAACAAAAAACAACTAGTTGCCATTGAGTTGATGCCGACCCATGGCAACCCTATAGGACAGGGCAGAACGGCCCGTGTGGGCGTCTGAGGCTGTTAGCGCTTCATGGGAGTGGAAAGTCCCATCTTTCTCCCTCAGAGTGGCTGGACCTCGCTACAGTTAAGAAGAAGTCTGTCTCACTGGGTTATTGATAGCACTCTTGTTGGGCATTAAGTACATTTTAAAATCAGAGTGTCCACTGACGTACTTTTCCAGAGGATCTACTACATGCACTGAGATATGCTATTTGTCTCCAACACTACAACTATCATACATTAATCCTCAAAAGAAATTCAAGTGAAGAAGAAAGTCAAACGTGCTCCATTTTCTCTCCGTGATCGTTAGCATTCCAGGAGCAAGTTGAAACATTCAAGGAAAAAAGAATCATTAAGCTAACCTTACATTTCAGCATTAATAAATACAACGGGAATTATCATTCTGTTAACTACTGTTTCTTGTAAACTCTGAAGGGGGAGTACGGCCATTTAGAGTAAGTGCAACCCTGATTAAAAACTCACATACTGGACTATTTGGGGGGCTGGTGGGATCAGAGGTTCTTTCACTGGTGACACTGAACTCTAGTTCAGTCCCTGAATAGAGCTATTCATTAAGAAGACTGGTAGAGCAAGCCAGAGGGAGGCGGGACCACTCAGGGAGTTCATTCTTTTGTGGAGAAATGTGGATGCTGACCCTCAGATTAAAATGTCGTCCTTCTAAGAAATATTCATTCACAAATGTCAAAGGACTGGGTGGAGAGAGAATATACTGTGACCCCCGTCACTCTATCATCAGAAAGTTAGACTTGAAATCAGATCTTCTCCTTTAAATACAAATGTGAAAAGTAAGCCAAGTATCATGGAGTTTTGAATTAAAGACAAAATAAAATCTGTAAAAGATATATAAAAAAGTCTTCCACCGATGTTGAAGCAAACATTAAAATAGCAATTTTAGTCTATTAATTACTATTTATTCAGCATCACTACTAAGCGCATACTTAAAAACCTATGCATTTACGTGAAAAAAAGAAAACATAGAAAAACACTGCCTATGTGATACAAAAAGGAAAATCACTACTGCTGGAAAATATCACTACTCACGACTAGGAGAATAAAAGAAAAGGGAATTTCCTCAATTGTAGCACTGAACATAGCAGTGGGTGCAAAAAGCTTCCCTTCATGCACCAACAACAGTTCCAAAGAGCCCTCCACCCTAAAGTGAAGTTCATTAAAATGGGGAAGCCAGTCCATTTCAGGGACTCGTCTTAAATATTATTTTTAAATATTACTGCTAATGAACATGTCTGAAGTATTCCTGGCCAAGCAATCCTAGTCACATGCAGTTTTTCCATAAAACCTCCAATCAAGACTTTGCTGACTGGCTCATGTTTACAGAGATCTTCCCTCCCTTCTCTGAATCCGTCACCTCTGCTACAAGGGCACAATTCCCGTCCTCATCTCATCAGCATATCTGTATAACCTAATAGTCACCTTTCGCCCCTTTCTTGCCTTCTGCATGCTCTGGCTGCTGCAGGACCCCATACGACTTCAGGGACTGGCCTCCTCAGCTCCATCACACCTAAGGTTAGGCACCCAAGGGAAGTGTGCCCGTTTCCGTGGCAATGGCCGTCTTGCTGACCCACAAGCCTGATGAACGGCAAAGGGAGCTGAGCTCATCCAGCCGCTCTCTCTCCCTGAGTCATGAGGCGTGGAAAACGAAGTAGTCAAACAATAGTGTCACAGAGGAGGGTGAAAAATGCATCAGCCAAGTCAGGCCGGCAATCCCTAAGCTGTCAGCCCGAGAGACAAAACAAAAGGGACTTCATTACCGTATCAACAGAAACTAGCTTTATTATTATCATTAGAGGAGTACTATAAAATTTTTTTAAAGAGGAGTACTAAGAAACTCTGGGTTATCATTTTCACTACAGCGTTTGGTAGCTATTAGGTTTTAGTTTACATGTTATTGAAAGTTCTTGAAAAATAAAGAATTGGTTTATAGCATTTAACAAAATTTAAAAGTTTTATCTATGTAATATAAAAGAAAATCGTCAGCATCAACTAGAACCAAATTTCAATAACATGTTCTAGTCTGTAAGTACAAAAGTAAAAACTAAAACATAGCAAAATGATTTTAAACACTATCTCACCCTAATCAGTCCCTCCCTTGTCTACTCCTCCACACAAACATTTAATATTTTACTTCTAATCTACAGTACTTAAACTTTACATACCTAAACTACAAAAAATAAAAGGTAAAGATAAGATTTTAGTCACAATTTTGACTTTAGGGAAAGTAAAACAATAAAGGAAAACCAAGATGCATGAAAACAAATCATCCCTAAAGTCCTCCTCATTTCTATGCCTCTTTACGTCCGAAAGATAATCAGTAGAGGCTGCTTGGTCCAGCAGTGACTACTGCTTCAATACATTTGTTGGCTTCTACCTGTCCTCAAAACCTATCCAGTTAACTGGTAACAAAAGTTCGGAAGAATCGTTAGAGGTTTCTTCTGTTTTATGTTATTGTATCTTTTAGAGAAGTCCTGTTGTTATAGAACTTCTAGATTTAGGTACTCATGAAGGTCTTAAAATATATTTCTTCCAAATATTAAAAGATTACCATTCAATAGCTGCTGCAAAGGTTTATAGGTTTACTATGATATATATTTCAGAAGGAACTTGGCTTTATCTAGATGTACAATAGTGCCCTCATTTTATATACATAAAGTACTGAGCCTTTACAGCTGGAAGACCTAGGTTCAAATCCGGGCTTGGCCACTGGACAAGTATAGGGGTCTTTGGCATGAGGGCCTTCACTAGATTATATCACAGCCAATCAACAGTGTCAGTTCCACATGATTTACGGTTCAAAGAAGTCATAGAAACTACCTCAAGCACAATCCCAAACCTGTCACACAACGTATAGCTGCTTCTTGAATGAATCCATTTGTTAGGAGCAAAAGAGTTCAAATGATAAACTTTTCCACTGTATTAAACAA